TTAATTTTTTTCAAATTACTTGATTTCTTTTGCTTTTCATCACTATCCACAATTTTTTTTGCTTGTCTCGATTAGGTTCTATTCTAGAGTATGTTGGTTCCTATTTTATATAGTATTCTTTTCAGGATTTTATGTGTTGTTTTGGTTGTTCTTCTAAGAGATTTTTAATTATAATTTTGAACCATTCTGATATAAATCCTTTGATTGTATCTTGTAGAAGCTAAAGCATTCTCCAGTCTCTTATTTTTTTAGTTTCTTGATCAATCAGCTAGTTTCGATACATCCGTTGATTGTTTCTAAGTAATGGTATGATTTTTTTATATTCTTCTTATATAAAATATTCTTCAATACAAATATTTCTCTTTTTCTATTCAAAGATATTTTGTTATTTCTAACTATGAAACATTATTCTCATATCTTTAACAATTTTGGTCACTTGGAGTGTGAAGTTCTATATCCTTTATTAACTTTTTATAATTAACATGTCTTTGTATATATTTGATTTACAGAATAATGTAAACTCTATACTATCTATTATGGTAAGTAATTAGACTATTCTATATATATATAGTATACTAGATCAACCTATTCAGTCACCTAGTTTTCCTTCTGGAAAGAACAGACAATGCTCTCTTAATTTTTCCTAGAACAATTTTATAAAGTAATCTAGTTATCAGACTGTTATATATACTTTAACCTGTTTCCAGTTTTGAAACTTCAGTATGGTCTATGGATTTCTTTTCCCATCAAGATCTTCTGATAATACACTATAGATAAGTTTGACTATACTTTTATGCATCACACTGATACAATGTTTACTCTCTTCAGGACTTTAGCATTCTTAACTTGACAACTTCTTTATCAGTCAGTAATATTATTGGAGTACCTTCGCCAATCCAGTTTCTGTCCTAGTTGACCATGAAATCAATCTATTCTTTTTCATCTTATCATAGTAATAATAAGATACTGATTATTCACAATATCCATAGACCAGTCTAATCTAGTAGAAATCAGTTATGAATGATACCATGTTATAGTGAATCTTTTCATTTTGGGTATTGATAAAATAGTCAGAACTGCATTCAATGACAAGTGATAACTTGTCATCCAATGGAATCATTTTCATTATGTGTGATATTTTTTACTTGATCCTTGAGTGATATTAAACTTTGAACCTTATGATTGAAACTTGGAAACACTACCACTGTACTATAGATTCACAGATCTATTAATTATGTATTATTATATAAATAATACCAAATAATTTATAAATATAAATGTTTTTTTTTTACAAGTTTTATAAATTTTTGTTAATTAATAGATAAATAGTTACTGAATTTTTAATGAATAGACAATGAACTTTTAATGAATTGTTTTGATAAATAGTTACTGAATTTTTAATAAATAGTTAATAAATTTTTAATAAATAGTTAACAAATTTTTAATAAATAGTTTTGATGAATAGTCGCTAAATTTTTAATAAATAGTTGATAAATTTTTGACAAATTAATAATAAATTAATATTGAATTTTTATTGAGTTGCTAATAAATAATTTTGTGATAAACTTTTAATGAATTTTTATTAAATAGTTAATAAATTATTTGATAAATTGTGAATTGTCAAATTTTTTATTGTTACTTTATTATTAAAATAGTAATATGCTGAGTGGTAGCAATAAAAAAGAATTTATAATATTTTTATTATTAAATTTAATCAAATTTGATAATAATTCAATTATCAAGTAATATAATTTTGATTGGTAATATAAAATATTATAAATTACTTATATTTCTTTTTTAGAAACAATATTAATAGTTCTTTACTTTAATAAAAACAAAGGTTAGAAAATATTATAAATCAATAATTTGGATAATGAAAAACAATTGTGGGTAGTTTTTTTATAATTGTTAATTTAAAATTTTTAATATTTTCTAATATGAGACATTTGATTTTTGTTCTTGTCTCCTTCTTTAAAGACTTATTTTTATTTACTAATTATTTTATATGTTCTGATAATATTATTAATAATAGGAAGAGTTAATTAATATTTCATTTTTACTTAATCCTTCAATTGAATTAATCTATAAATTAAGTTTTATAAAAACGATAAAATATAAGTAACAAGTTTTCAAATGATAAAAAAACTATTATTTGTTTAAGCTGAAGTCTTTTTTTCTTATCATTTTGATCAGGCAAAGTTTAAGATTAAGGTTTCTTTTTTATTTCAGTTGAGCAATAAAACTAAACAGTTTTTAGTTTATACTAAGCTTTAATTTTTTAGATATAATTTAAAAAAGTATTTTTTTAAGAATATTATAATCAATAATAATTTTTATCACTCTTGAGACTCTCTCACCATTACAAGGCAAAGAATTGTTAAAGAATTTAATTTTTTGAATAATAGAAGATATTTATTGGTAAAATTTTTTTAACTAGGCATAGTTACTAAAAATATCATATTAAAACAATATGGCTCAATCTTTACTGGATCACATAAAAATCTGGAATTTATTATAAGTCACCTATTTATTGCAAATGAATAAAAAATAATTGCCTAAAGAAGGTTAGGATCAAATGTATTACTGAAAATAAAGGTTTTTATTTAGTAATAAGCCTTTTTAAATAGTATATAAGAAAGAAATCAAGATTTAAAATAAATAAGTTTTTCAGATAGTTAGAAAAAGAAAGGATATTTAAATCAAGTATTTCTTATCGAAAAAATGTCATAAAAAATATATATTTGAAGAAAGTTGGAAAAAAATTTTTTTAATCCATCCTTTTGTAATCTCTTGTATTTCAGTAACTTGATAGGACATATAGTATTGCAATGACAACTTAACAGCAATAAAGTGATAAACTAGAAGAATATTTATCCAAAAACCATTATAGAGAGAAATATTATTTTCAAGATCAAACTTAGAGACTATTATTGCTTATAACAAGTTTGTTAAATTTGATAAAAATATTTAGCTATAATATGTATTATGCTACTTGAGTGAAAATATACTTACGTTTTCAATTGATTAATAAATTATAATCTAGCCTGGTTACGGATATCAAAAAAAAAAAAAAATCAATTAATGTTTATTTGTTTAATTTAATTATTTATTATAAAAATAAAGTTAAAATTGAATATTTATAAAAAATATTTATAGGACAAATAATTAGATTATATTGATAATAAAAATATTATAAGATTAAATTATTTTTTTAAGCAAATAATATAATTCATCATCTTTATAAGTAATACTAGTTTTTAAAATTAATACCTGAGAATTTATATTGAAATTTTAAGGAAGTAAAGGTAATTGAAATGAGAGTAGACTCTGTATCCTGAAAGAAATCTGAAGAATTGTATTTTATCCTTCCTGTTCAAACACCGAGGTGCATATTAAATAAACATGAATGCCTGATAAACGTGTATTTGAACCACTGTGATAGCCAATTATATTTAACCTTTTCCCAATCACTTAAGGTGATTATACTTAAGTTACTTGGCTTGAAAGTCAATAAGACGAGTACCGTTCGCGCGTTTAAGTAACTTAAAAAAAGAACACCTTCTCACTGATCAACTCGAATTATGGAAAGTTAATATCCCCTTTTTGAACCCAATGAGAAGCTAATTTATACTTAACAGGTATAGTTCAGCGATCAACCGGCAGAAAAACGTAGACATATTATCTTTGCGAGTTCTCCTAAGCATTTATTTCGTATATTCACATTGAGCATTTCTTTATTCTCTAGGATCTTTATCACACTAAGCTTTGTAGAGCTTCCTTCAAGAAACTTGAGTAGAAGGAATAGTAGAGTTTGGAATCATACAATGCCTCTGATGGCTATTCCGTGCAGCTTCCACTCAAAATAATGGACATGCTTAAAAGTGACAAATTCGTATCCGAACCACGCATTAACTTATTAATTTCGTAACCGCATTCCAGAAGTTTCCCAATCAATTAACCTGCCAGATCTCAGCCAGAAATCTAAACACTACGTACTCACCAGATGATTGACATAGGGAACCCTCTTTCAGCAGATCAAGAGCGTTTAATCAACCTGTTCTTATTGATGTGGGTAAATCATATATTTCCTATTTTTTCGCATCCAAAGTTTGTGCGGAAAATTTGCTGATGCTCTACTTCGCAGACGTAGCTGGGCTGATGCTTAATAATACAGAACAAAGATATTTTGACTTCTGACGAGCTTAGGCAGCTTGTTAAAAAGTTAAACACCACTCCGTTGATGTCGCACCGAAGAAATTCTAGGCGATTTATTTAAACACAGATGTTGACGAACGTGGTGGTGCACTATTTGAAAACGAACTAGTACTCCTAAGACGCCTGAATCTAGCCATCTCAATTTTGGGGGAGAGAGTTATAGAAGTGCACGTGTAATATTCACAACTGAAATCTGAGAGGAAACGCTCGAAAGATGACCAGAATAAATATTTGGTTATCTATGTCGGGTCACTAGAGAATGATGTTTTTGACGCATTGTTGGAGATGTACCCCTTCTGCAGTCAGTCATTAAAGAAATAGTGAAAGTTACGAAAGTGCTGCTTGAACAGCTAACCATGTTAGCAATTTATCACCTATGTAAAAAGCTTTTAACAAGCAATAAAGGATTTTGAAAATGATCGAGCCGACGAGATGTTTGATGTTCAAGAATATTATAATGAGATTCCGAAAAATGAAAAATTTCTGTCCCTCGCTTACAAGCATATTTGTTCTCAGTATGTCTCCTGCGTATTTTATTGGCACAAGAATTTCATTACTCATTTCCTCTTCCTAAGTCGACCTGCCCTGAAAGCCCTATTAAAAATGTATATGTCATTCGACCTGTCCGAAGATATAAAGAATCAATCCGAGATAGGAGAACTAACCGGAAATCAAATTTGAAGGTATCTTGTCTTGTTCCTCGGAGCAACGGATCTCAATAACTGACCATCAAGCCCCGTTTGAAGATCATGTAATAATCAAGGATTCTGGTTCATCCCTTGGACATGGTTGTGATAAAGTCTTCGGTCGTCGCTTTGAATGATATCTCCGATTTAATTACATGCTCGGAACAATGTTGGACACAACGAAAAACAATCAAACATCAAAATATTTCTGACACGCAAATTGGTGGAAGAAACCAGATTGAGATGTATGGTTCTGATTATACCGCTTACCTAGATCCTAGTGACAACAGATCTTTTGCTACCGGAATTAACCGGCCTGTAACTGAATTCTGCATTGTCTATATTCGAGGTAGTCCCGGCACCCCAAATTACCAAATTACTCGAGGAAGACAACGAATTCCCTGAGGTAAAGTATGTCTCCTTCGAAGAGGTCAAAACAAAGCTTTTCGCAAACATAATATGATGCGCATCCCTCTTGATATACATGTAGTTAAAGGATAGACAATAATCATCCAATTATTAATATAGTATGGTCGCGGTTATGTAGTATGCATTATCTTTATCCGCAATCTATTTTAATTTCGATCATTCTTTTCAATAAACAAAAGAACACTAAACACGAGGCCGAAAGCGTCGAACTAAAAGGAGCTTAGTGAAATAGAAGAGACATGTATTTTCCGGAATTTCTTCTACTATGTAACGATCGATCAAGGATCTTTTTTTTCTTTCGTGACGAGCGTCACAAAAATTTCATGTGATTCATGCCATATCAATGCGTCTGGCAAAGAATTTTGTATATCCCTACTATATTCTACTTTGAGAAAAAGAAAACTTTGAACAAAGCAAGCTAGAAAAGCAATATTACCAGTTTAGTATAACGCATTTACTGTACTGCCCTAAGTGAAAAGGTTACATTACGCAACAATTCTTTTTTTCACACCATTACAGAAAGACCGCGAGTAAACAAGTTATAACTCTAGTGTGTGAAATCGACTTGTCCGGATGACCCTTTAAGTCAACATTAGATAATTTCCTAAACTGTTCCCCAACGAATCAAGCACTTTTTGCGTAATCCCGAATAATAGTTTATGCTGCTAGTATTTTTAACATCTTATCTTAGATAATTTAATCTAGCCAATGGCACAAAAAGTTTTAATACACGCCCTGCACAAAAAAAAAAAGAAGAAAATCTTCTATGATTAAATTTATGAAGACGAACAACATGACGTGAATTCCGGATCTAAGAATAAAGTCTTGTAGAAAATTAGTTTTACGAATCTTTTTGGTTAATTCGTGCTCATACACGTGATCTACTGCCCCGGCTCTTCGAATCTGTCTATCGCACCCACGTAGAAAGATCTAGTCATAATGTCGGTAGTTTAAACTATTAGATATGCCGATAACATAAAATAGGAGATTAAATTAGAGGATACTGATAACGTAAAAAAAAAAAAATAAGGGATTAAAAATAGAGTTATAAATACTCATCTTGTTCGAGTTAAAATGTTTAACATCCTAGCCGGATTCTGATAAAACTACTGTAAAAACAACCTGCAATTTAATCCTTGTTACATCATCTGCCTGCCATTACGTTATCTGCCCAGCATATAGATCAGCTCTGCGTTTCCTCCCAACTGATCTCACCTTGTCGTTGTCCGAATATTAAAAGGCAATACCTTCATCGTTAGAAAATGAATAAGACCCGTGAACTTACGGAATTCGAGCGTGGGGAAATTGTTGGCCTATTCAAAGGGGAATTTAGCGTGAGAAAGATCGCAGAAATACTTGGTCGTCCAAAGTCCACGGTGCATGATGTAATCAAAAAATACAAGGAAAAAAAACAAACCACCGTTGCTCCTCGATCTGGCAGACCTTTGGGTTCAACCAACCGAGATAAGCGTCGTCTAGGGAGAAAAGTCCATCGGGATCGTAACCATGTCGCTGAAGAGGAGATTAACAAGCAATTCGATCAAATAGGAAAAGACACTAACATCGAAGTCGTGATCGAGAACGAGAAGATGAGCGGAATTTAATCAATTTTGATGATTAATCAATTGGAAGTATTCAGAAATGACCCTGATCAATACGCTTGACAGAATTTATGAAAAAATATTCAAAGGATTGGTAGATTCCAATGGTTAGGATCTTTCTTTGCTACGACTCATCGAAGAGCAAATGAACATCAACAGTTCCCTTCACGTGTCCGGAACACCTGTCGAATTAGGATTAAAGTAAAAAAGATAATAAGAAATAACACGATGCTGTTAAATTAGATACATATGTATGATTTTGAAAATATGTTTGGATTTTGTAAGTTTAAAAAAATTTTCATATAGTTTGTATAATGCGTATAATACTTTGTATATTATTTAATGTAATGTATACACAGCATATTATAAGAATTAAATAATAATTATACATAAGATATAATATCAAAGTCTTACAATAAAAAATAAAATAGAAATCTTGCTGGCATGATTTTATAATTTCTAAATAAATACATAAATATAGATTAGTAACAGATTCTATGGGTGAAAGACTGAATTAAATTTGGGAGAAGTACATAAAGATACCTTGGCCAAGTTATATAGAATTTATATATAAATAAATGAATGTTTTGCAGCCATAATTTTTTTTTTAAAAAAAAATAGTACGCATTTATTTATGCAAAATCTAATAACAAGAAAATTACATATCAAAAATTAACTATGCCACCTTTTATATTTTAAAAAAAAAAGAAATTGGAAATATGGATGTAAATTTTTTAAAGGGATCATTATAAAATCAAACCATTCTTTATTAAAATGCATTATGACATACAAATGATTTTAATCAACTTTTTTATTTACTGCATTTTTTTATCAAAACCAATCTGATAGGTAGAAACCAGATTCAAATATTCCTCATCATGGATTATTTAGAATCCCTTAACTTGTAACTTTACAACCCATGAAATTAAAATAAACTTAAAAATTTTTTAAAATTTAGCAAAAAATGATTTTTTTATTAATTACAGTATGTTAAATAGATAAAGTAAAAAAATTGAACTCTGACCAAGAGGAAGACAATATATTCATTGCACACAAAAGTTTAATGTATCAAATGAAATGAGCATGATTTCGAATTAATTGAAGTGACGGTCGGCAGTTCCTAATTATAGCTTAATCGGGTATTTACTGCACCTATACATAAAAGCGAAGATCGACCATGTCTTCTTCGGTCTTCCGAATCTTCTCGACACCATCCTTGTTACTTATACCACTCAATTGATCACAAGCATTAGCTCCAATATTGTCACAATGTTTATGTAGAAACACATCACCACCTCATGTCATGAGCATGTAATCGACGCATGCACAAAATAGATCGAATTCTAGAGCATGCCTTCGCTTATCGAATTTAATCCGCCGCGCTTTAATTTCTAATTGGTAGAATGATTGAGTACCGTGAGCATTCGCGCTGGATAACATGCAGTCATGTTGAAGAGGGCAAGCCAATACGCGTTCGTGATATAAACCGTGCGTGGCATGAGATTAGCATATCACACTGCATCTCTATATTTACAGTAACTTTTGACGTTTTATATATACTGTGTTTTTTCCTTCCCAGTCATTTCCTGAACAATCAGAGTCTTCACATACGGTACGATGAATTTGCATATTGGAATTGTTCTTTTGTTATTGACATCGCCGCAACAATGAAATTCTCACTAACCTCATTTCCCAGCTACTCCTGCATTTTTCTTGGCCGCAACAAACCCTTGCATATAAATCGAAATGACATATTATACCCAAGTTTAACTTCATACGAAATTCTTATTGAAATCCCGAGTTTGATGTCTACCTCGGTGGCGGAACAATTTCACCGATCAGCTATTGTCCGCAATCGTCACTCACGTATGGTCCGAATTTCCTGAAACAAACAAGTTCTCTTTAATTGTCTTTGCTTTTTTTTTTTTTTTTTTGCAAAGAAATAATATTGTGGTGAAAAAAAATAAAAAAAGTGTAGAGGTCAAGAGATGATGTTTGTTGCACACGCAAAAGGCTTTATTCGCGTGTGCCTGCAATTTTCCCGTCTAACCTTTATAATTCTTCCAAATTCAGGTGCACCCTGCGAATTTGGCATTAAATAATAACGCCATCCTTGATAAATTTGCTTTTATTAGAATTATTAATGAGAATTACTTTGGTATTGAGGTACACACACGTATCGTCAAATAAATTCTGGATTTCCCACTTAAGGGCAAGGGAATTTTCATCGTGTTAGCATTATATGTTGCGTGGTTACATCAGCGTCACTTGCCGTTGCGTCTTTCCCGTCATGCGAGACTTATAGGGAAATGGGATGGCGATCTAAGAAACCATTGTGACTGCCATTCGTCATTTTAGAAAATAATAATAATAATAATAATAAATGTATTACCATATGTTCTACTCATTACATAAGATGTTATAAGATGTTATGTACTCGTACGTAAAACCTTTTTTTTTTTTTCGTTCACACGGATATAAAAGTAGATGCGTAGCATACATAACAGAACCGCAGGGTTTTGTGTATCATATTGGTGCACGGTGTCTATCGTCATTCTAAAATATAATCTGGATTTACACATATTGTCAATGCCGTGAGCGCATCTAATGTTTTTGTTGCTCTGAATAAGAGGGACGTTATGGTTACTAAAAGCATATATGTTTGAGTCTGGCATTTTCGATCCCCTCATTTACGCTACGAAGAATGAACGTTGGTTAGATTGGCTCGGAGTGATTGTGTGAGGACCGATTTTTATTTAGTATAGCATTAGAAAATCGTGAAAAGTGAGAAGAGAGTGTGCTTGTCAATAAAACTCCATAGATTCGGGACTGATCTGCTTAAATGAGTGAAACTACGCCGAATATTTCGAAATTCCATATATAAGTAAATCATTCGCGCTTTAAATTACAATTATGGTACACAATAAGTTTTACAGTCATTGCGAAGGTCTTATTTAAATTCCCAATCCTTCCAATCACAGTGCGCGAGGTTTGCTGCGGTTTGTCTAAAAGAGAGGATCTTCAAATAGTGTGTTGAGATTATACATCTTTGCAAATTTGTCTAGCCCAAAGAACCATTCATTCGCTACACTCCTGATATCAAAAATCCATGATCATTCGCTTTCAAACAAATTGTATAATAGACAAAAAACAAGTCGGAAATTGTGACGAAGGAAGGTCGGTCAGGGGCAGATGAAAATTTTTACTTTTTCGGGAAGGAACATTGTCATTCGTCTGAACTAAACCAAAAAGACCACTGATTTACAGACTCGAAAGTCTCGGATACTTACAACACCAATGAAAAAAAAGACCAATAACATTAACTGTTCACCCGCGTTCCCAGTATCCCTGCTTCTAAGAACGTCCGAGCGCGTGAATGAATAACTGACGTCGGTTCAGGACCGGATGAAAACCCGTTTCTCCCTAATGCACGTAAACACCCAACATACTGTACACGTAAAAAAAAGTAATATTCGTCTTCTGCCAGGTTCGAGTTATCCGAGAGTTCGTTACAATTGCGCACTCGGTTCTATTGTAAATTTACCACCTCACCTTGCATCATCCTGCAGCATTCCCTGGATCAAGACATTGTTATCGGTGAACTTTTCCTTTCTCGAACGCACACCTTCAAAACGCGTCATGTCCGCGAGGAATGGCAATGCTAGGTGAGAACTCGAAAAAAAATTTTTTCTTTTCAAACTTGATCGATTAACGTGCAGCCCTTCGTTGCACATACGCACATCCATAGTTCTCATTACGCATCGTATGATTCTAAATATTTGCAAATACCTCAGCGGCTATCAATGATTGACCAGATGCAATGAAATATTTATTGATGGAGATTTGGAACGGACCAGACGAGGTTAAGGGAACAAGATAATGCGAAGACCGGATGTCACATTGATTCATTAAATGCACCTGATTGGAAGAATCTTCCTAGTGTCACATAAACTAATAACCTACGGGGAACACCAAAAATATTTTTTTGCCATGAATGGTTATCTCATGTTTTCTTAATTGACACGGGTGTCACCTCCCCATACAAAATCAGGCCGAATCTAAGTAGCCGAATTTTGATGCATAAATTAGATGTTGAACATAGGTTACGTTGCAACGGGATGCAATGGCGCTATTTTTTTTTTTTTTTTTTTTTTTTTTTTTTTTTGGTGCGCAATGTGCTTTGGTGAAAGGCATAGGGATTTTGTACGCCCGGAAAGGAAAATAATCTTCGTGCAAAAATAGATTTCATAAATACTAAAATAGGTTCTTTCTTTATAATATGCACATCTACATACTGTATATCTAATCTAAGAAGTCATAACCTAATTTTTAGGAAATGCATGACCTATCATGTAAAGCGTCTTACGTGATGGGAATAACGCGTTACTAAGCGTGACACGAAAGCCCTTTCAATTATTCGAGCCATGCACCGCTTCTTTCCTTGCAGCCGGCGCGAAATGCGATATGCCATCAGGGAGCACGGAAGAAACTGGAGAGAAAAAGAAATCCGCGTTCAAGAAGGAGTATTGTATTGTGCGATGAGAACATGCCTCGGCAATTCTTTATGTGCATGAATGAATGGTCATGGACTCGTTGAAACCTTCCTCACATGTATCATGTCAACGATTATATACGCAAACAGTTTCTTCTGATTCGACATTAGCGTTAATGCGACGCCATCATTTTAATGGATGTGTATAACTAAGGGGAGGAAAGGGGAGTAAGGATGCACAGCAGGTCTTGGTGAAGCCAATTCCAGGGAGCGGCAGATATTACTACTTGCGCGGATACAAACAAATGTAAAAAAGACGTAGACGTGTGTCCATTGCTGTTTGTTTGTCGCATCGTTGGGATATTTCTTGTGACTTGGTTCGCAACATCTTGCGTGTGACAAGGAGTTAGTTATTCAAAGTGCTGGGAATCCATTAGACCCAAAAAAAAAAAAAAAAAAAAGAATTAAGATGGAATGTTTTCACAACGATAAATGAATTACATACAGTACATAGTACATACGTACATACAGTACGTGCATATAGCGCATACACCATCGTCTACCTAACAAACATGTATGCATCATGCAATTTAGGCTGCAAATTATACACGATATCATTTGACAACTAGGTTTTAAATAAAAACATCAAGGTTCTCGGTTTCCCCAATACGTATGTACGTAATGCGAACGGTACATGTGCATAAAATGTTGGTTTATAAGGAGGGCCTTTTTGCGGCGATCGTCGCGCAGAGGATCACGCTATATGACATTAATTTGCGTATGATTATAACATTTGGCGATGATGGATTTTAAAGGTCAAGGAAGTTTTTATTTGGTAAAAAAAAAAGGAATAATGTTACAGGAATGGAGAGTATGTTTACATACTATTTCAAAAAAAAAAAATAATAATAATAATGATAATAATTTTTGAATATTTTTTTACATATTTACACGAATTTTTATTTCTCGCTCAAAGTTGGAGATAGAGAGAAAGAAATGATAATAGGTATGGTAAAGAGAATAGATAAAACTTACAAATACGAACATTTTCAAATGAAAAAAAAATTTTTTTTTGGATTTTTTTGTTTTTTTTTTGGATTTTTTTTTTTTTTTTTTTTTTGAACAAAAAATTAACTCCCGTGCACCCAAGTCAAATATAATATAATAAACGTCGAATATATGTATAATTAAGAGAAAAAACCAATCCTTCCAAGAAAGTTTGAGTTTACATTTTGTGAAAAGGATTGTATTCTCTCCGTTTTTTTTTTTTTTTTTTTGAAATGTCCGTAAAGTGTAAGCGGTATTTTTTGAAGTGAAGCGCATTAACTACCTTAATTTAAACCCCTTAGGTGGAAAAATTCTTAACGATTCGAATAAACAATACAGTTATACGAATTTTTGTTTAGCCTATATAAGGAGATGTCAAGTAGTTAGCAAACGATACAATAACTCGCGGGTGTGTTTTACAAGCATTTTCGATTAAAAAAAATAAAACATACCAAAATTACATCTAAATCATGAATCCAATTCGGACAAGTTAATCATTCCACTATCTGGCGAGATGAAGGGGCTCAGACCGAGGGAACTTAGGTAGTCATATTGCTCGTTCGTATACATCTCGTAGAATTCGAGCGGGTTAAGGTCGGTCTCGGAACTCGGTGATACGCCCTCCATCATAAGATTGAAGGCGTTGGTCTCGACACAGGCGTTATATCCTTCTGGAGAATCCAAGACCGCTGGATATTGAAATTGTGTAGATTCGTCGACCATTGAGGAAATGGGAACCGAATTTTCGAATAGGTTGTTTTGATCGTAGCCCATATTTTCAAGATCATTGAGGTCGTTTATATCGCAGGTTGACAGAATGGAACTTCTTCGGGAGTCGTCTTCGTCGAATGAACACGTGGTGTCGATGGAAGACCGTCGAAGCAAAGTTTCGTCGATATCCGGGGAGTTGCCGTTGGCCATAAAAGAGCCGGTACCATCTTTGACAACGTTTGCGACAGCACTTGCCATTATATTGCTGTTTCCTAAACTAGCGCTTGGTCGCTTCGTTCTCCTGCGCTTCTCGTGTGGTTTTCGCGGGCGATATTTATAGTCGGGAAACTTTTTTAAGTGTTCAATCTTCGCTTGATCGGCCATTAGTTGAAACTTTTGTTTTTCTGCAACGCTTTCTTTGTGCCACATTTCCCCAATCTGCTTGGATACCTCGTTATTCGATATACCCTCGTTAGCAGCAACTATGTCCGGTTGCTTTGACCTCCTGTAAAGGATAAAGGCATTCGGTGGTCTCGGAGGCTTCTTCTGTTTTGTCTTTGCAACCGTCCCGCTCCGCGGAGTTTGAGCAGCAGTTCGAGCTAGTACAAGTTGTGGGAACTTCACGTCAGACGTATTATTCTTCGCAAGAGGAACTGTTGAGGTCATGTTTACTACACTCTGTTGGAGTTTCAGCTGCTGTTTTTGAAGAAGAATTTGTTGCTGTTGCAAGCTTTTGAGGGTTTCTATCGATTGTATATTAATATTAGAATTACGAGGGATGAGAACCGGCTCGAACCCCTCCGGAATAAAATATTGTGCCCCTTTTTGCTCTTCGAAAAGTCGGAAGAGGTCGTCCTGTGAAATGAATTGCAATGCTGTCATTTCTTTTCCCGATGAGGTGGTGGATGAAGTTGAGGTCCTTGACGAAATGTTTCTTTGAGTGGTCATGTTTGAGATCTTTAATTTTTTTTTGTTAGTCCGTTGGTATACTAGCTACCTCAGTCTTAACAATGACAAAGGGGTTTAGAGAACTAATTAGAAAAGTATAAAGTAAGAAAAAAAATATATAAAAAAAAGAAATTAAATTAAAAAAAGAGGTTAAAGCAGCAGAATGGTCGACTAAAATAAAGGAAAATTAAAAAAAAAAAAGAAAAAAAAAAAAAAGAAAATTATTTGGTCAAGAATAAAAATTTGATGTCCGTGACAAAGAAAAAAAAATGATACCGAGGGAGGAAGGATATTTATATAGCTATATGCGTTGTACCAAGTATAAATTGATCTGTATGCATATATCAACGAGTGTGTATAAAAAATAGTAATGATAGTTTCACTGAAGGACCTGATGAGGGTTCAGTAAATAAAAAAAAAAATCAACCCCTTTGAAAATTTATCAATGATAGTAATAATTAAGATCACAGACACGAAAATTTTTTTCTTGTGACGGAGAGGAAGTTCAATCCCTTTTATGAGTTTATCAAAGCAAATAGTCGTTATACGAACTTGTATTAAAATAATGTAAAAAACCAAATCTCAATTGTGAATGCATTAATGCATTATATTTCTGTATAAATAAAAAATGCGGTTACTCTAAAATGAGGTATCACACAGTATTTATGCATATAAAAAAATTTTTTTTAATACATAAATAGTGTAAAAAAAAAAAAAAAAAAAAAAAAAAAAATCGAAATAAGTTAACAAAAAAAAAAAAATTTTTTTTTTTTTTTTTTTTTATTTGGCTTTTTTTTTTTTTTTATTGTTATTATTACAAACAGTTATTAAGCACGAAAATTACAAATTCATAATTCTTATCTGTTGTTTTTTTTTTTTTTTTTTTTTGATTAACGCACAACTATATTTTAAATTTGGCAATTTTGAATACTCTTATATAAATAAAAATTTTATTTCTATTCCATTCACATATATGGTATATACAGTACAGTATGCTGAAGTTTTTATCGCTGTAGAGTAATGTAATATGCAAAAAATAAATTGTGAAAATGGGACAGAAGATCAAGAATTAAGTAGCGCATAAATCATGCAAAAATAGTACCGGTAAAGGTACGCTTATAACCCGAATATTTGTCTTTTTAAACTTTTGTGCATCAGTGTTATCAATCTCTAACGATTCTATTACTTGTTCCCCTTACAAGACCTTTCATCGTCATGATGAATGCGCGGTGGAATTAATGAATAAGTATGTTTATGGTCGATATCTAATACGCAAGAGAAAATCAGACTTGATTATTGAAGATATATTTAGATAATGTACAGCCCCTTGCGCATTAATCATATCTTATTCCCAACGTTCGATCGAATATCTTGCAATGCGAATCCGTACATTTTCCTAAACACTAGACACCCTGATTCTAGAATTTATCCTTCGATTCGGAAGTTGGTGTCCGTTTTTCGCTGACCTGCACATTTATGGATGTGCTATTGAGACAGCCACATCCATTCACCATTGTGACTCTCTAAATACAATTTCTAATCCACGGGCCTAGACTATGCGGATCTGCAAGAATGCATTGGTGTGATACAAGGAAACGAATTTCAATAATTCTTATAACTTTTTTTACAAATTCTCCAATTTAACAATTAACCGATTTTTTTAAAAAAAACTCGCGGCATTATGTTCATCGAGCAATATTAGATAAATTTAAATAAATAGATAAACATAATGTACATTGAGTAATTAAATCATATGATGATAATTTTGACTTTTTATTTTTATTTTATTTTTTATTCACTCGTTTTTTTTTTTTTTTGATCATAAATCTAATTAAGATAACGAATTCATAATAAATACTTTACACACCAATATACAGCATTTGTTCAGAATTATTGTTGTTTTAAATATTAATTTGGTTTGTTATTGATTTGAAAACACATTATCTTCAGTTGACAAACCTTTACCTCATATATCATCTATAAAGAATCTGTTTAAATCATAAACCGCAATAAATATTTAGAAGAAAGATTATATTTTGAATTTTTTATACACGTAATTTTAAATTGTTATTGTTATAAAAAAAAATCAATTGCCGATTACTTAAATTACTGCTAGCTATTTATTTCAAAGATTTTATTTCAATCGCATCTTTTATGCAAGCCCGGAATTGAGTTTCAAAGGTATCATGCATAACCTTGTATTTTCAAAAAAAAAAAAACCATTGTAATTTTGATGTTTTCAAATTTTATTTTCTGAAAACTATATGATAAACCAGTCCTTGGAATTAATGTGAATCTCTAATAAACCTGATAAATTATTAAATAAATGACAAAATTTTTTATAAATGCAATTTTATTTTGATTTATCTTATTATGGTTATATTAAACATATTGAATTATACAGTATATTGACAAAGAGAGATCTCTAATGAAGAAACAAAACAAATGTCAAAAATCTTTATTATATTAATTATAAAAAAACCATTTATAATTGTTTTCTATTAACCAAATTATCAATTAATATCATTTTTAAGATTTGAAAATCAGATTTACATAAAATTAAAGCACATATAATCATATTCATTAAAGTATTATTAAACTCTATAAAAAATTATAATCTATATAATAAATTTAATAAATAAAACCTGTTTAATTTAATTTACTAATATTTATAAATATTATTTGAACCTTATTTATTATATTGCATAAAATATTCTAAATTTTATTTCTAAAAAGAAATACAAGTAACTTACTTATACAATATATTAAACATTTTAAAAATCCATATGATATATACAATATATTTATATTTATATTTATTAACTTATGGTTAGAATTGATATAACTTTTTTTTATTATATATATTATTAAATATTTATATAATAATTTATTATTAAAAACTATTTCTTTAAATATAACTTAAAAATAACATTATATTTTTTATCAATTTGAATTATTTTTTAATTAATATACTTATTATCTTTTTTTTTTTTTTTTTTTTTTTTTTTTTTTTTTTTTTTTTTTTTTTTTTTTTTTTTTTTTATTTTTTTTTTTTTTT